CAGCTGTTCGGGAGGCTGAGGTAGGAGAATCGCTTGAACCCGGAAGGCGGAGATTGTGGTGAGCCGAGATCGCGCCATTGCCCTCCAGCCTGAGCAACAGGAGAGAAACATCCTCTCAATGAAAAGAATAAATAAGCAAGCCGGGCGTGGTGGCTCAATCCTGTAATCCCAGCACTTTGGGAGGCCGAGGCGGGTGGATCACGAGGTCAAGAGATCGAGACCATCCTGGTCAACATGGTGAAACCCCGTCTCTACTAAAAATACAAAAAATTAGCTGGGCATGGTGGCACGTGCCTGTGATCCCAGCTACTCAGGAGGCTGAAGCAGGAGAATTGCCTGAATCCAGGAGACGGAGGTTGCGGTGAGCCGCGATCGCGCCATTGCACTCCAGCCCGGGTAACAAGAGCGAGACTCCGTCTCAAAAAAAAAAAAAAAAAAAAAGAATAAATAAGCAAATTAAGGAATGGGAGCAGCATGTCCAGGGCACAGGTATTGTTCTGAAATTTATTTTAGACCTCTTTTGAAAGTACGCGTGAATGTAATTGTTTCAGGCACTTGGTTTTTTCGAGACCGAGTCTGGGTGTCACCCAGGCCGGAGTGCAATGGGGCGATCCTGCCTCCCCGCACACTCCTGCCTCTGCCTCCGGAGTAGCTGAGATTCCAGGCCCGCGCCACAGCGCCCGGCTAGTTTCAGGCACTCTTAAATGAAGCCACTCAGCGCCTCGCCAGCGGAGGGCGCCGGAGCTCGCCGCGGACCAGACCCAGACCCACCCCCGCGCCTCGCCACGCCCCCTGCCCCGCCCTCCGCTTGCCTCACGCCGGGGCCCACGCCCCCGTCCATCCGCGCGTTCCTGTCCCGCCCCTCGCCACGCCTCATGTCCCCGCCCTTGCCCCGCGCACTTTATATTCCGCCCCCTTGCCATTCCGCCCCCTTGCCGCACCGCCCCTCGTGCCCCGCCCCGGCTCCGCCGCACCACTGAGCTCCAACCCGGGGCCCGACTCTGGGCCCTCCGCGTCCCTCCACACGGCTACCCTCGCGGTTCGCAGCGCCCGCGTCCTGATTCTACTTCCGCTTCGGAGGACTTGGGAGCCCGACGTTTCCGGGAGCGCCCCGTGGAGTTAGTGTTGGCCGCTTTTGGCATGGCGGCGTTTTCTGGTCCGGCTGCGCCAGTCTTGTCGCTTAACCCGCAAGAAGATGCCGAGTTTCAAAAGGAGGTGGCGCAGGTTCGCAAGCGCGTAACCCAGGTGAGCAGGCGCCCTAGCCCAGGCTGCGAGTAGGGGAGACGCACCGGTTTAGGGGGTTTCTGGGGTCACGCAGTTCCCGGCCCGGCTCCTCTTGCCTTCGCGCTCGCCTTCGTTACCTCCAGGGTCTCCCAACCGGATTCGCCTGAATCAGGGACCGACCTCTTGAGCTTGCAGGCCATGTTTCCCAGACGAAAGGGTTTACGCTGGCCAGTACATTATGGAGGGGTTTGGCCGCTGAGGCCTTGGAGCCTTCATGTGGAGAGTAAGGGGGAAGTATTGGGGTGATGGAAGTGGAGGAAGGAGCCAGCTGGAGGAAATGGGCTCCCATACCGCAGGTTATCTCCGGGTTAGAGCTGTCACTGCCGCGTTGCCTCCGAAAATGGGGGCCCCAGACTTATCACTCTCGGGAGGTTTGTATGCCGGGTTGGAGATCTGAGAGTTATCAAAATACTTTATTTGCCAAGTTGCACTTGCTGAGTAGGGCCCCTGACATCCCTTATACTTTCTGTGTGTGTGTTTTTTTTTTTTTTTTTTTTTTTTT